TTTTTTAGGCAGTCCTATAAAGGAGTGCATTACAGTAATCTAAACATGAGAAGATAAACGCATGAGTCAGCTTCTTAGCATCTTCCAGATTAAGAAATGGTCTTATACGAGCTATGTTTCTAAGGTGGAAGAAGGCAGCTTTCACAACACTGTCAATGTGTGCCTTAAATGTTAAGCTCAGAATCCAAAATAACTCCAAGTTTTTTTACCTCAGTTTTAGTCTTTAGTGCCAGATTTCCCAGACTATTAAGAACCTTTTTTCTCTGCATTTCATTACCAACAAGGAGAATTTCACTATTCAAATTCTTCACAAATAAACAGAGATGCATTGATAGGCCCATTTGATGAGGGGGAAAAATGTAAAAGCTGATTAATTGTGCGAAAAAGAATTCTCGGGTTATTGTTATTTCTGATCATACTTGAGAAATACTTTTGTCTCTCACTGCGTACTGTTTTGTTATAACTATCAATCAACTGTTTAAGAGCATTAAGGTGAACCGTTAATTTAGTTTTCCTCCACAGACGTTCTGCTTTACGACAAGCTCTTTTCAGGTCTAGCACATGCTCATTTTTCCATGGTACTTTCTTTTTAACTGATTTTTTTCCTGATTACTTCTGGTGCCGCTATATCTAGCGCAGTTCTAATATGACTGTTAAAATAAATCACCTTTTCATCAACAGTTAATGTCTCAGGGGGAGCGGGCAATTTGTTCAGAACAAATGCAAACCTTTCTTTTTATAGGGGTGGGGCCACTGGCCTCCTGAATGTGCCCTTCTCTGTCTCTCACCGATTCGAAACATATCATTGACTAATGATAAGTTTGGCCCTTCTGTATGACCCTGTTTATGCCCCTAGAATCCTAGAATTGCCCCTGTTGTCCAGGATGGAAACACTGATATCCTTTGACTCTCTATGCCTTTTAGGCCTTGCGGATGATGTTGGGGTTAGACCTGGTGTCAATCCATCAGAGAAATGTCACACTCAATGGCTTGTTGGTCCCTCAGAACAAGGCCCTCTTTAGGGGTGGTAAGTTTACTCCTATGGCCATGTTACATCGGTTGATTTAACTGTTTTTTTCCACAGATTTTTTTTGTTTTCTGAAACCTCTGCCATTTCTCAGGCCTGATGAGCCGCTCTCAATGCTGGCAGCCATTAACTCGCACCTGTTTCTTTGTGTGCATCCGCCACATTACGCAGGGGTGAGCATTCATTGGATGGGAGACTTTGTTTTTGTGGAGAGCGGCATGGGGGTTCGGGTGAAGTTCGACATGGGAAACACCGTCCATCTGACCGTCACTGCAGAACACCTCACTGCCACTAGGGGGCTTTGTGGAATCTTCAACAACAAAGCTGACGGTATGAGAATAGTAACACATATTATAGTAACAATGTAAGTATTTCTGCTCCCCAGAGACTTCATTTATTTATTTGTCTTTCTTACCAATGAACGAGAATCACATCTGTTTGGTTTAAATAAATTTCATCATGAGCTACAATAGCTACATCATTTAACAGTATTTTCTCGATTTAACCTGTATGGGTTATGGTGTGGAGTCATTTTTGGGGTTTTTTCCCTCTGATTACTTTTTTCCGCATGCACACAGATGATTTCACCACCGTGTCAGGCACCGTGACCCAGTACGCTGCCAGCTTCGGGAACTCGTGGCGTGTGCCAGATGAACAGTCCGAGGTATGAGGCTGGATTGGAGTTCTGTACTGTGAATGACTGCGAGCCACATAGTGCGCTTAACCCGAGACACTTCCATGCATAGCAGACACATGGAATCAGAGCCTCTCAACCCCCCCAGTTATGTTCTCTGCGCTCTGCCCCCCCGCGCCCCCAGGGATGCAGCGATGCGGCTGAGCTTGGCCATAGCTGTGACATCGTCGGGGACGCTGACCTGCGGCGGGAGGCCGAGGCCGTGTGTCACAGGCTGCTGGCGAGTCCCTTCACACAGTGTCACCAGCAGGTATGAGGCTGATGGCACGTTTGCCCCCACCGGTGCCCCTCCCTCAGTATGGTGCCCTAGGCAAGCTTCACCGCTGGCGCCTCCCGTCCGAGACGGAGAGAAATCGTCGGCACCCCAGGAAGCCGTCTGTGTCGCCTAAAGGGTTCACCCTTCCATTGGAAATGCATGCAAAGAAACTACCTCCGTTACAAAAGCTGTTTGCCCTTCCTGTGCTTTTCAAACGCACCGTTTTGGCCAAGCGGTGGCGCTCTTTGGACCGTGTCTCTCTCTCCTGATCAGGTGGACCCAGCGCCTTACGCGGACGCTTGCCTGTTCCTGCGGTGCAGCCTGAGGGGGGCAGAGCGGGATGAGGGGAGCTGCGACACCCTGGCCAGCTACGCCCGCGAATGCGCCCAGCAGCATGTCAGCCTCAGCTGGAGGGGTGCCAGACTTTGCGGTAGGTTGTCACAGCAACGGAACCTTGGCTCACCTCACATTAGACCCTTATAACCCCATGACTGTCTCTCTCCTCCTCCCCTCCAGAAAGGAAGTGCCCCCAGGGGCAGGTATTCTCTGACTGCGTGTCGTCCTGCCCCCCCAGCTGCTCCTCCCCACTGCCCCCCATGTCTGGCCAGTGCAAGGAGGAGTGTGTGAGTGGTTGCGAGTGCCCCCCTGGTCTATATCTCCACCAGGGTGCCTGCTTGCCCCGAGAACAGTGCCCCTGTTTCCACCGCCGCCGTACCTACCGACCAGGCGATGCCATCCGGCAGAGGTGCAACACCTGGTTAGTCCAGCTGTCTGTTTGCTCCTGTGTGTGGTCACATCTCCCATCAGTTAGTCACATGATTAAAAACTGCCCAACATATGTTTGCCTGCCCTCTGAAGCTAATCACTGGACCATAACTGTGGTCTTTATGTACAGTGCGTGGGATCAGGCATCAGGTCTGGAACATATTTTTTTGAGACACAACAGATACTATGTGTGAATGTCCTCATCCCTTCTCGATTTTGGTTTCCTTGTACACATCTGTGCTCTTTCCTTCTGTCTCTCAGTGAGTGCAGTGCAGGGCACTGGCAGTGCTCCAGTGAAAAGTGCGCTGCGCAGTGTACCCTGCTGGGGGCGCTGCAAGTCACCACCTTCGACGGGAAGCGGTACAGCGTGCTGACCGGCGACTGCGGCTTCACCGCGGTGGAGGTGAGGAGCGGCCTTATGGTACAGCTGTGGTATTTCCAAACTGTAAAACCCACGGCGTTAATAGTGCCCCATCTGACTGTCCCTCTGCAGGACTTTGTGGACCATAAGCTTCTGGTGACTGTCCAGGCTGGGCCGTGTGCCTCAGGAGCGGGGCAGGGGTGCCTGAGGGAGATGGCCGTTACTGTGCTCCGTACCTCTGTGACCGTCTCTGATTCCGGTAGGCAGCCGTTTTATAGACCCAACTGAAACCTTTTGGCAGGGGTGTCTGAACAGCGTCTCCAAGTTAGGTTACATTACTAAATGAGGGAGGCAGTTGGTTACTGAGAGGAATGTATACAGGGGCTGGGGCTCAGCTGATTGGCCCCCAGAGTGCCTCCTCGTCTGTCACTCCCCAAATTAAATCATTTAAATCATGTATGAATCGTGGCCCCTCATTTGCTACCCACCTTAAAAAAAATCCTAGAATCGCCCATGGTTAGTGATGGTGAAGTGAGTTATTTGTTTAATATGACTAAGATCATTGACTCTCTGGATGTGATGCAAGCAGACAAGTCTAGTCTTCTCTCTAGATCTATAAAGCTGTCAGGCTGTCCCTTGGAGGTCTACGGTTCTACCCATGTGTGTAGCACATGTGTATCACCACCTATTTGTTATTGCCTGCTAAAGGTGCAGTAACCGTGAACGGCCAGAGGATGGCGCTCCCTGTGGTGATGTCAGACCTGACTGTGCGGCGCGCCTCCTCCTCCTTCATCGCGGTCCAGACATTTGGCGCACAGTTACTGTGGCACCTGGAAGGACCCTATGCCCTTGTCACACTGCAGCCGGGATTCGCCCACAAGGTGTGCAGTCGTCCACAAACCAGAGAGCTGAAGCATTCAGTGACATTTCTGCCAAAATCGCAATTGGAATGGTGATCAAACACCTTCAACCCTCCAATCCCAGGAGGTGTCAGGAGATGTAGAACACAACCTGCAGAGATGCAATTAAACATCCTATTATATACAAAGGCAACAGTGTAGCTAAGATTACAACCACTCCTCGGTTGTAACAGATAAGCAAGATGGCAAAATTCCAAATCACACTGTTCCAATTTTAACATTTGAGTGTCATTCGGGGGGCAGGCAGGTGCTGGTGTTGCTACAGATGGCAGGAGGAACAGTGGTACAGCAGCAAAAGTACAGTGTTCTAAACCCCTGGGTCACTATCCGGTTATAGAATTCTGTCTCCACGTTAGTCCAGCTTATAGCTCTGATCACATGGTGCTCGTTCAGACTCTAACTGCCCTCCCGCATGTATGTACAGGTGAGAGGGCTGTGCGGAACCTTGACGTGGAGTCAGCACGACGACTTCACCACCCCAGAGGGCGACATAGAAAGCGGCGTCAGCTCCTTCGCCAGCAAGATGACCCTGGGCGGCTGCATGCCCCCCTTGGGGGTGTCACCCGACCCCTGTGTCACCTACCCCCAGAAGAGGCAGCAGGCGGGGAGTGTTTGTGGCATCATCCAGAGTGGCGTGTTTCAGGTAGGGGAGGGGGCAGGGACAGAGAGGACTTGGCTTTAGTCAGTGAAAAATAAACGTTTCATTTCCTTTGGTTGATGCTGCACGTGTTTGGGATCATTTATTTCATTATTACATTGCGTTTGCATTATTTGCAGGAATTAAGAATTATTTAGTATTCATCACTTAATGCCCAGATTATGTTCTGTCCAATAGGACGACAGGTTACTTGTGTGCGATGCAAACATCATATATATGTATGCAAACCTATATAGTTTCTTTGTAAGAGAGAGAGTACACATTAAAATGATAACAAAAGTACAGTAACGTAAATACATTAATGCTTAACACAGATGTTGGTTATCATTATCAAGTGTTGTGAGTATTATAAATTAGATGTGTTCTGTACCATTTTATGACTGACAGCGCAATTGCTTTGCTTGCACCAGCTGCATGTGGTGCATTACAGCCTCTTACGTCTGCTGCGTCCTGTTAGAAACAATAAGGATTTTCCAACTCTGTTTTAACCTTATGGGACCTCAGACGTATACTGTATGCGGACGGACGTTATGCGGACGGACGTTAAGCGACACATAACTGTAATAGTCTCTGAGAATCTAAAAAAACTCCAGTCTACTCGCAGGCTTTGGATGATTTCAGGACTGCGCTTAAATTAATAATAGTAATGAAGTCGTATGAAGAGCACATTACCAAAACTCACTCAGTCCATGGGATACATTTGCCAAAAGATTTCTATGTACTGTGTGAGTTATGGAAATTTTATGAAAGTCCCCATGTCCCCATGAGGACAGAGATTTGGAAATTTGCTCTTCATACAGTATGGTCTAACACAGGGGTGCCCAACTCCAGTCCTGGGGGGCCAGAGCCCTGCACATTTTTGGGTTTCCCCTCATTTAAAACACCTGATTCAACTCCTTGTGCTAATTACCACACAGTTCCTGAGCTGAATCATTTATGGTGGAACAGGGAAAGAACTAAGCTACACAGGGCTCCGGCCCCCCAGGACTGGAGTTGAGAACCCCTGGTCTAACAGAATGTTTCCATGAGCTTTGAAACCGAAACTGCAGTTGCTGTTTAATTAGGAATGAATCCAACTTGGTAAATTACCAGATTTAGTAGCTGTTTGTTATTGCTTTGAAATTCCAAACATGGCCGCCACCTGTTCTGAGGACCCTCTCTCTGTCCGATCAGCCGTGTCACGATGTGGTGGAGCGGGACCCCTACATACGCCTGTGTCACGCGAAGGTGTGTGGCTGTGCGCCGCAGAGCCAGTGTCACTGCACAGTCCTCGTCGCCTATGCCCGGCACTGCGCCCAGGAGGGGGTGCTTGTAAACTGGAGGAATTCCACCTTCTGCCGTGAGAATCTCTGCGCATCCTTTCTGTTGCTCTTTTTGCAGCTATTGGTGTTTGAATATGTACAGAAGGGCTGGGCGATAACACATCGATATTATATCGCAAATGCACAATAATCACCAGGGCTTCAGATGACAGGCAAAACCTTTGGCCAGATGCCATCTTTTCGGTACTATACGGACGTTTATTTACACCTATGATTTGTTAAGCAGATTAATAGTATGGCTAAAATGTTAATGAGATGCATTTTGTGACACCCAAAAGTTAGTAATCTGCTTGAACTTGGCATATCTTTAAGTTTATTAAATTCGGTTAGTGGAGCACACCACATAATACTGTTTTCAATAGGAACTGACATAGCGGTGATGAAAGGAGCGGCTCAGCAGCCATGACATCTTTTAAAAGAGGAGATCTTGTGGATAAACAAGGTAAAAATATGTCGGTGGTGTGGTGGTGCTTTTTGCAGTTCAAAGTGTGACACATCTATTGAACATAAGGATATGCTGAATTTATACTGATTACTAATCATTTTTGGCCATCATAAAATGCCTCATTAAAATTTTAGGTGCACTACTAATCTGCTTACCAAATTGTGGGCGTAAATAAAAAAGCTGGCATCCGGCTAAATGTTTGGCCGGACACTGTTTGGTCGTTTAGATACACAAGACATGATAATTAACTATTCTCGAGCTACTATCACATGGACAGCCCACTCCATGTTGAAGTGCGAGACATGGATCTTAATCACATGGATCTTAATCATGTGGATGATGATAAATGGCAAGTATTATACACATGGCCACTCTTAATAGAAATGCACCCTATTCGTGATATCACTTTATGAACTTAAAGTTATCTTATAATTTGCACAGAATTTAATGGAAATATAATTAATTACAGTCTTAAAAATCCGATGTGGTTTTGGGGGGTAAGAAAGGGTCCGAGTACTGAGCCCTGAGGGACTCCTGTTCGCAGGAAGTGTTGAATGAAAGGTTCCAAGGTAGTCCAGAGCAGTCTGTGTGAATGTACCTTGGAACCACCGTACTTCAAGAGATATTTTATTAAAGCTCAGTTGGTAGCACTGGTGTCTCACACCTCCAGGGATGGAGTTTTGAATTTCACCTCCTTGGTGTGTCGAGTTTTGTATGTTCTCCCTCAGAAACATTAATCAATGCTATATCTCAGTGTCAGTAGTTGATAGGGTCAATGTACAGTATGACGTCAATGTCCCTCATTGTCAGTAGTAAATGGTGTCATTGTTCAGTGTCAGTGTCCCTTAGTGTTAGGAGTTGATAGTGTGAGTGATGTTTAATTTCGGTGTCTCTAAGTGTCAGTAAGTCATGGTGTCAATGTTGTTCAATGTCCCTCAGTGTCAGTGGCTATTATGCATTTCAGTCCACTGATGGCACTCCCCCCCTCCCCCCCCAGCCGTTCAGTGCTCGGGGGGGCAGGTGTACCAGGAATGCGGCCGTCCATGTGGGGGCTCCTGCGCAGACCTCCAACAAGGCTGGAGCTGCCAGGGGGAGGCGCCCAGCTGTGTACCAGGCTGTCAGTGTCCTTCGGAGCTGGTACAGGATGATCATGGACAATGTGTGCCTGCTGCCTTGTGCCCCTGCGTGTATGGGGACAGGGTCTACCAGCCTGGCAGTACCATCCAGAACAACTGCAACACCTGGTATGTAGACCAAGCAAAATCAACAAGACTCCAGCTAGTTCAAGGTATGGTTTAATTCGGCCTGCAGCTCAGCTAAAAAGGTCTTTATTTCTATCATCTGCTGACATGATCTAGATGGATTTAAGAAGGTTGGCTTTACGTCCTTTATCAATATACATTTGTTTCAAAGCTGTGCACCTCTTGTTCCATTCTCTTTTCTGTACAAATGTTAAAACAAATTATCCTCTTTGTGTTTGAACCAAGACGAAATTTGCCGATATTAATTCAAGCTGCAAAATGTTCCTTCAGAATACTCCCTTTGTCTTCCTTGACGAGTTGTACCTGCTGGCCTTCTCCCAAGCAAGCGCGATACAGGCACTGGGTAACGGATCATAGCTGGCACGCCGTTTTTTATCGGTGCCATGAACCCTGAGACGATTCTTATCTGAGTTAATGAACTGAGAAGATGAAGAAGTGGCCAGATGACTAAGCAGAGCGCCGACCTTTAACGCCAAAGGGTGCACTGTCGCTTCTAGGAGGTGGGGCCACTCAGGCAAGGCGCATTTGTCCTCAGATCCGGGTGTCTTATGCTTTAGCGATGAGGCTGGGTGATCTGGGCGCTTTATGACATACTTATCACATTGAGATGCCTTCATCCGCGTCAAAATTCTGCTGCCCTGCTTTACAGCTGCTGTAAATGGCTGTTTTATTACAGCGGGGACTTATTATGTTATGTCCTTGCAGAGAATGAGTTTGTGTAGGTTGATAGGAGTGGTGTGTGTGTGTATTTGTCTCCTGATAATAGTGGTGCGAGGGCGATGATGAACTCGCCCTATGCCCTGCTCTTTCCCACATCAGGATAGGTTGATTTCATCGGCGTTCTCCGCTGCGCCAACGTTGTGAGTGTTTACGTGGTCTGTGGAGAAGTGGCGGTAAGGAGGGCAGGATCCCCCACTGGATGCCGTTGATGGAAGTGTACACTATAAGGTTTCAGCACCTTACATTTTAGTGTTCTTGGCTGAGCTTCAAGCAATGCACTTTTAGTGAATTCCTGTCCGGAAACATCTGAAGAAGATGAAGGAGAGCTGAAAGTGATGATAGTCTGGCCTGCAGAGTGATCTGACCTTAACCACATTAAGTTGACTTGGGATGAAATGGATAGTAATATTACTGGGCATATCATTTGTGGGCTGTTCTCCATCATTGTCGGAGTGAGCTTTTGGAAGAAAAAAAAAAAAACCTTGAGTCTAATTAATCGAATGCCTAGAGTTTGTTGAGTTGTATTCCCTGCAAAAGGCAATCATACTGTATACATTAGTCACTGGTTAACTGCCATTCTGTGTATTTTTTTTCTTTCGTACGTGACACAGATAGTGTTTAAACTGTAATAAAACATGTGAAACTCCACATGCTGAAAAACCTCGCTGGCGGTGCAGGTCGAATTTACCGTAGTCTAGTCTGTTGGCATACCTATCTAAATGGGGAACTTCCATTCGTTGGAAAAACCCTAATCCAAATCACGACACCCTTACCCCCTACCCAGTCCTAACATAATCATAAGTAACTAAACAAAATTCAAGACTTTCTGTATTTTTACTTTTTTGATTGCATTCACAGATTTTTATAAAATTGAGGTTATCCAAATGTAAAATGGTGACCTGAAAAATGTCCACAAAAGTATTGAACCTTCATGACATTTTGGGGACATTTTGGTCCTCAAATGTAATCTACACAAATCCCCCCCCCCCTCCACATGCACACAGTGCTATGGTCGGGTGAATTACAAAGTTTGAGAAATTTTCAGAACGTTCCAGTCACTTTTTACTTTAAGTTCATCTGTTTTCCATTCAACATTCACGGACGGTTACGTGTCAGTAATCTTGTGTTTTGCCCTTGCCCGGGCGGTAGGAAACTCATGGTGTTTTGACCTAGCTTTCTGGTATTAGGTTGTAATGATGTTTTTCAGTGCCAACCTGCATTTGAAACTGGTCGCACACTGGAAGCTCAGCCTAGCACCACATTTGCTTATGTTGGCTCTTGTCTGCTCTATGGTTGTGATGTATTGAGGGATGCAGTAGGGGAATGGACACCCTGGCAGATTCGGGGGTCCATCACTTTGCAGGGGCCCTTCAATATGTACAATTTAAAAAATATATAGGTGAAATTTTGTTAGGGGACCCATAATTTTTAGCTACACCTGTGGACGTATTGCCTGCCTTTTTTGTATATTGATTTATAGAAATGCAACTGCCAGTTGAGAAAATGTAGATAAATGTCAATGTAAACATCCCCTGTAAATGTAACCCCCCTCGCAGACCCCTGCTCTATTTCAGGGTGCATTTGTATGGCTCATTAACATCTCCTTCTGTCTGCCCTGTGTCCCCTTATTCTCCTCAACTTCCTGACCGTCCTGCTTCTGGTGTGTAGTGTATGTGAAAGGGGTGTGTGGAACTGCACCGAGGAGCCCTGTCCGGCCCTGACGGCATGCCCCCCCGGCCTGGAGTACTCCCCCCAGTCCTGCCTACGCACCTGCTCCAGCCTGGATGCACACCCAGAGCCCTGCCCAGAGCCCATCCAGGGCTGTGTCTGCCCTGCCGACACCGTGCTGCTGGTTGGTGTTTGTCCATCACGGGGGCAGTAGGGGTGTCAGGGGTTCTCAAGGGGCACCGATATCCCAGCATGCACTCTGTCCCGCCACAGGGCGACCGCTGCGTGCCCTCGTCAGAGTGTCCGTGCCACCACAACGGCAGGCTGTACTACAGCAACGACACCATCACCAGAGACTGCAACACATGGTAGGCAGGTTTCAGACAGGGGTCTGACTGCCTCTTCATTCTTTTTCTAAATTGTTGAAAACTGCTGACATCGCGATGCATGTTGACATCTGGCTCATGCTGCCAATGACCTGACATTAAATACGCAGTCCGGAAACGATGCTGAGTGAAAGATATCATATCACAGCACTCAACATAATTTGCCTACAAAAAAAATCACATTTTTGTTGTGGCTTTTATTGAGTTTTACTGCAATGCATGAAATTATTAGTAGGTGATATTTTAGTAATTGTTCAGTATCGCATTCTTAATGATGCTCCAAAAGTCACCTGGGCACGCTTTCTGACCCTCCCCCAGTGTATGCCGGGGGCGGCATTGGCACTGCGGCCATGCCCTCTGCGCGGGGACCTGCCTTGCCACGGGCGACCCGCACTATGTGACGTTCGACGGGCGCACCTTCACCTTCCTGGGTGACTGCGAGTATGTGCTGGCACGGGAGGTGGGGGGCCACTTCAGCATCACCGCCGAGAACATGCCATGCGGCAGCACCGGCGTCACCTGCACCAAGTCCGTCACCTTCACGGTGGGCGGCATCGCCGTGCATCTGCTGCGAGGTGAGTGAGGGGCGGCGCCAGGAGCTTGGGCACCTGCTCATTGCAATACTAACTGCAGAGCGCAGTACTAACTGCAGAGCGCAGTACTAACTGCAGAGCGCAGTACTAACCTCACCACATCAAATTTATAATTATCGTTCTTGCTAGGCTGCGCCAACACCAGTCCATGGTGGCAGTGGTGTAAGTGACAGTTTGAGATTAGGGGGACACAACTTAATGATTAAGAGATCAATGGAACCAAATTAAATATTGTGGGCTAACACCCCCCACTTCCTGCACCCCTGCATGGTGGATAGACGAACTGAAGAGCAAATTTCCAAAACTCACTCATCCAGTCAGACTTTCTCGTCATATATTACAGTATCGGGAATCAAATCTCACTCAGTCTTCATATAATCCAATGAAGAACTTCATATCCGAGGTCTGAATGAGCTTTAGAAGTTCGCTCTTCAACTGGTGTACAATGCTCTTAGTGTAAGTATGTGTAAGTGATGGAGCAGCATCCCATACAGGGAGCCCTGTGCATTCTGGGACAGGATTCAGGCTCATCATGGCATTGGATAAGAGATTACAGAGAATGAATGGATGAATATATATGACGATATGTGTGTAGTGAGGCATTCATGCTCTAAGCAAATGGGCAATTTATGTTTAATCAGGCTTCCCGTAAAACTCGGAAAACTTCTGGTTGCAGGAAAAGCGGTGTCTGTGAACGGCATGCCTGTGGCCCTGCCCAAAGCGTATTCGGGCAGCGGGCTGCATCTGGAGCAGATCGGCCTCTTCGTGTCCCTCTCGTCCCGATTTGGAATCACCGTGCTGTGGGATGGAGGTGTGGCCTACACTAGCTAGTCACGTTACATCGACATCACCTCATAGCTATTTTGGAAATAAACATAGTGGGAGTCTCACATTTCCTTCTTAAATATCACTGTCGTTAAAGAGCATAACATTTATGCACATCTGGAAACTAACTTGTACAAATAAAGTCCCAGTAACTGAGACAGGGACGGATACAGGGGCGGGGCCACAGGGGCATTGGCCCCAGCTGAAAGCTGATTGGCCCCGGGAATGCTCCCTTCCCTGTCACTCACTGATTCGAAACATATCATTGCTTAATGATAAGGCTGGCACTTCCGATGCCACCATCTGAAAAAACCAAGAGTAGAGTTGCCCCTGTGCTGTTAAATACTGTAAATGATGCATTGACTGGTACTCACATAACAATCTATATGTATCCCAGGACCCATCTACTGGCCTGTTCAAGCTGACTGTGTAAGTTAATAGTATCTTATTCCTAATGTTTCCATTGTGCAGGGATGCGGGTGTACATTCGCCTCTCTCCCAAGTTCCGAGGAAGAGTTGCAGGGCTATGTGGAAATTTTGACGGGGATGCTGAGAATGACTTCACCACGCGTCAGGGCATTATCGAGTCCACAGCCGAGCTCTTCGGGAATTCCTGGAAAGTCAACCCCACCTGTCCCGACGTCCAAAGCCAGGATCTCCGTGACCCGTGCACCGTGAGTCCCTCGGATCCTAATTCTCATTAATGGAGTAGCTTCAGCATAGATCTTCCCAGACAAATCTAAATAGGTGCTACTGGCAGTAATAACGCCAGAGTGTTTTAGGGTATTGATTGGTAGCCTGTCGCTGACCTCTGGCCCAGGAAAATCCGCACCGGGTGCCGTGGGCACGGAGGCGCTGTGCTGTGATCACACAGGAGCTTTTTGCTCCATGCCATGCTGAGGTGGCCTTCCAGCTGTTCTATGACTGGTGTGTCTTCGATGCCTGCGGGTGAGTCCCTGAGCTTAATGTTATGCTGCTCTCTCCCATCTACTTTTTTATTCTCCAAGTGTAGGGTAATGCAGGCATTACATTTTCATGTATTTTTTCCCAAAATATATTGTTTACCCTTGTGTGTCCTTTGACTAAGTGTTGTGTTATAGCTGTGACTTTGACAGGGACTTTGAGTGTGTCCTTTGACTCAGTGCTGTGTTGCAACAGTGACTCTGGTGGGGTGTCTCAGTACGTTCTTTGACTCTGTTGTGTTGCAGCTGTTACTCTGATGGGGACTCTCAGTACGTTCTTTGACTCAGTGTTGTGTTGCAGCTGTGACTCTGATGGGGACTCTCAGTGTGCTCTTTGACTCAGTGATGTGTTGCAGTTGTGACTCTGATGGGGACTCTCAGTGTGTTCTTTGACTCAGTGTTGTGTTGCAGCTGTGACTCTGATGGGGACTCTCAGTGTGTTCTTTGACTCAGTGATGTATTGCAGTTGTGACTCTGGCGGGGACTGTGAGTGCCTGTGTACTGCCGTCGCTGCTTACGCTGAGGAATGTAACCGCCGGGGGATCTACATCCACTGGAGGTCCCAGGAACTCTGCCGTACGTACAGCTGACTGACATTATGTTTAAAGATGACCTCCACCGACACTCTGCGTCACACTGTCTCCAGTGTATGATTTGCTCCTTTCTGCCCCACAGCCCTGCAGTGTGAGAATGGCCTGGTGTACAAGTCTTGTGGCCCAGCTTGCAAACTAATGTGCCCCAGCAGTATACATAACCCCGACTCCCCATGCAGTGCCCTCTCCTGTGTGGAGGGCTGCTTCTGCGAGTCTGGGACTGTCTGGCATGGTAAGACACTAACTAGCAGACAGAGTTTCCCACAGTCGTGCTGGTGCTGGCTGTGGGGTGTAATTCCAGTAATACACACCATCACCTCCATATTCTGGGGGTGTGTCTAACTGCTTATATGTTATTGGATGCACAGCCACCCATCAATCATAGTATATCTTGATTTGTATATTGTCTGAGCAGGTTTATTGAGCTGGTGATAAAGGCATTGAATCTATGAGACATTCCCCACTTGGACTCTTGAATGGCCCTGTACTCTGACCCCCATTAGTCTGATCAACATTTGCAAAATTCACCTCCAGCATATTGTTGTCAGTACAACATAACTGTGCATAACTCGACTCTCTGTCGCCCCCTACAGGTGATGGATGTATTACACCTTTGTCCTGCCCCTGTGAGTGGGAAGGCTCTCTGTTTCCTCCTGGGTCCTATATGGATCAGGACTGCCAGAATTGGTGAGTCTCATTATGCATACCTGGCCAGCATGTGGTTCAAATAAGATCCTTTTGTTATGTGTTCTCAGCCTGGGCGGCATTTGAACAAACCAAGGATAAGTTTTGGACAAGTAATAAAAACTCAAAAGTACTCATTCTCCTAAAGGTCCGATGAGAATAAACTCATTTTCATCAAACAAAGATTGTTAATTGATTTACTGGGTTTACTGAATTGCCTCTCCCAAAAGTTTGTTTGGCTTGTATTCAGGCGTAAATGTAATCAAATATATGTTTTTTTGCAGCTCATGCCAGGCAGGGAGTTGGCACTGTGAGGGGTCTTCCTGTATCCCAGAATCCCCGTGCCTGGAGTCCGAGTTCCAGTGCGTGGGGGGACGTTGTATTCCAGCTCAGTGGAGGTGTGACAATGAGGACGATTGCGGGGATGGTTCAGACGAGCTCTGCCCCTCCACCTGCGCTCCTGGTCAGCTCCACTGCAGCAGTGGCCGCTGCCTCGACCGAGCCCTGTGGTGCGATGGTCACCCTGACTGCGCCGACCAGTCGGATGAGGAGTTCTGCGCTCCTGTGCAGCCGGTGCCCTTGTGCCCCCCTGGGGAATTCCAGTGTTCCAGTGGCCTCTGCCTGCCCACCAGCAAGCTGTGTGACGGCCGTTCTGACTGCGGCTTCGCCGATGACTCTGATGAGCAAGGTGGGTATCTGTTTACGAGCCGCTGTAAACCTGTCCCTCTATCGGGTCCCTGGGTCTCTGGCTCCCATTTGATTTGATCGCTCTCCCCTTTCAAAAATATCAGTATGGGGAACAGCTCGCTGGTTTGAATCCCAAAGCCAGCAGAATGATTTCACTGTTGGGACCCTGTGCAAGGTCTTTAACCCCTCGGGTGCTCCAGGGGCTGACCATGCTTCTCAGAAATGTATTTTTAATATAAGCATCTCTCAAATAAACAACAAACATATAGTGTATTCGTTGTTGTTTTCATTGTTATAGAAGTTTAAGGAGCTAGATTTACAGTAGGTGTCTTATCTTTATTATTTTACTCTGTATCTAACTGTAAATGCGTCAACCAGGTTGGTATAATTAATACTTTAATTGACTGACTTTTATTTAAAATGTTTAATAGGTAACTTTTATACAGCAAACAAATCCAGTTTTGAACCTGCTTAACAATCCACCTTCTGCCACTGCTGTACAACTAATCCCGCTGTAATACCCAGCATGTCCTGCTGGTGGCGATAGAGGGTAACGGATGCCTTTGGGGGTGTGGCTACAGACTGTGGCGCCACGTGCGGAGCCGGAGAGTTTCGCTGTGTGGGAGGCCGCTGCTTGGCATACATCCACCGGTGCGACGGGCATGATGACTGCGGCGACCTGAGCGATGAACGTGGCTGTGTATGTGCAGCAGGAGAGTTACAATGCCCAGGTGACCAGTGTGTGCCCACTGAGAGGGTGTGTGATGGCGTGCCGGACTGCCCCTCTGGCACAGACGAGGCTGTGTGCCCGCCAGGAGGTAGGACCCCATTGACGGATGAATTTTGGATATTTTGAAACATATTTATATTTAATTTAAAACAATCATTAACACTTTACCATAATTAACTTGTCATCCCTCAAGCACATTGTTTGTCTTTTTATCTATTTAAAATGTATTCAATTTTACAGTAATAATCTGTATGATTTGCATTCTATATGTCATTGTTTTTAAACTGTGACTGAATCCAAATGTCCAAATACTGCTGTGCAAATGGCAAATGTAGTTTCAGTTCAGTTTAATTCAATTCAATTCAGTTAAGTTCAATTCAGTTCAATTCAATTCAGTTAAATTCGGTTCAATTAATTTCAGTTCATTTCAGTCCAGTTCTATTAATTTCCTTTCAATTCAATTCAATTCAATTCAATTCAATTCAATTCAAATCGATTCAATTCAATTCAATTCAATTCAATTCAATTCAATTTAATTTAATTTAATTTAATTTAATTTAATTTAATTTAATTTAATTTAATTTAATTCAATTCAATTCAATTCAAAAGCAATAAACATGTACAACCCAATGTGTTTGTGAATGTTTTCTCCCTCTCTCTCTGAGTTTTGCATGTGTATGTGTTCCCATCCATGTATGCCAGTAACCTGCGCCCCTGGTCAGTTCCCCTGTGCCGACGGTACCTGCGTGTCCCAGGTGAAGCTGTGTGATGGGTCCATGGACTGCCAGGGCGGGGAGGATGAGAATCAGACTGTCTGTCAGCCCGTATCTCCCACAGCGATGCCGGTAGTGACGCCCTCCCCAGTGCCCAGCCCTGGTTAGTGACACCATGAGAAACATCTGACAGACTGCTCAGGCATTAAGCACACCGAAATCAATCCACAGACGAATTTAAAGAGGCCCTATTATACTCTTCTAGTTTTTCTCTTTCCATTACTGTGTTTTGTAGCTTTATGTACATGCAAACATTCTGCAGAGTCTAAGGCCTAATGTACCTGCCAAAAGCAGTTACAGTGGTATCTCAGTTCTCGTACTCATTAGAACTCAAATTTCTTAAAAGTCAAACCAACCAGATCAAAAAAAATAAAATTACCTACAGCCTGATCTGAATCTCAGAATTCAAACCGTGCAGGACTCTGGCTCTCCAGGACTGGAGTTGGGCACCCCTGCCCTAGAGTGACATGGTGGGGGGTGGGGGGGATCAGTGGAGGTTGTAGTTCTGTGGTCAGGAAGTAACTTTGAGACATAGTCTTGTTGAGGACCTCCTGTGGATGTCCATAAATAGACCTGACATCTGTAGATTCATGTCAAGGTCTGAGAGGACGGAAGATTCCTATAGCTAGATAGAGTGAATCGGAATCTGTTTACGCCGCTGCTCCACTAGTTCAATTTCTTAATATTCTCCTTCACTAGAAGGACATCTCAATTCAAGGTGACGCACACCTCTGCTTGTCATATGAGGTTTTAACCCCCCCCCAACCTTTCTGTCATGGCCCAAAACTCCAGGATGTGGGCACCATGAGTTTCGCTGCATTGATGGACACTGCGTGCCGTTGGCCTGGCGCTGCGACGGGGAGACCGACTGCCCTGGCGGTGAGGACGAACAGACCTGCCAGGGGCCCTGTGGCCCCGGCCAGTTCCCCTGCCGTGCCGGAGGCCAGTGCATCGAACACCAGCAACTGTGTGATGGCTCGCCCCACTGCCGGGACGGCTCTGACGAGAGCGAAGACAACTGTGGTTCGTCTGCACACGATCCAAACCCCCTCAGAAAAATAGATTAATATGAAAATACATATTGGTCAATAGAGTAGTGGTAAGAAACGTGTTCCCGTGTACCTCTCTGTCTGCGCCAGGCTCCTTGAAAATCCCACCCTGTCCTGGGAGCTTCCAGTGCGATAACCGCACATGCGTGAATATGTCCCATGTGTGCAACGGCATGCCCGACTGTCCACGTGGCGAGGATGAATGGATGTGCGGTGAGTTCCTGCGTGGAGCCTGAAATCACTGAGGCCAGACCCCCAGTCTGAAAGTTAAAGCGTATTTGCTAACGCTGTGAGCATCTTTGCTAGCACTATGGCACATTGCCAACACTGTGGGACTCTGTCTTTGAGGCTTTGACGCTAATTCTTCAAGGCTATTTGCTAACTCTTCAAGGCTCATTTCTAACTCTTCCACTAACTGTCCGTGGCCCATTGCTAACTCGCAATGGCTCTTTGATAAGCTTTCAGAGCTCTTTGCTAACACTTTGAAGCTTTATGCTAGCACTTCAAGGTATTTTGCTAACTCTTCAATGCTCTTTGGTAATACCCATGGCTTGCTTTTCTCTCCTTTCTCCAGACCAGAGAACCACTTCGCCTCCGGTCTCTAGAAACACTAGCAAGTCATGCCCAGAGTACACTTGCCTTGATGGCACCTGTATCATCTTCAAAGAGGTAAGGAGTTTAACCTCACTTGACTCTTAGATATTAGCTTAGCCTGAGGCTGTGGTCTGGAGGTATGAACTATCCCACTGGGCAGCTCTTGAGGGGTTGCTGAACACCGTTGTGAAACAGCAGGGTTGTGTGTGTAATTCTTATATTCCGGCAGGTATGCAACGGTATCCCAGAATGCCCTGAAAGCACAACCGGATTGGAGGGAGGCCCATCAGATGAACGGGGTTGCCGGACCTGGGGCCCCTGGGGACCTTGGAGCCCCTGCAGCCGCTCCTGTGGGTCTGGGTCGCAGATCCGACAGCGACAGTGCCCCCTGGGGGATCCTCTGCGCCACTGTAGGGGAGAGGACACCCAGAAACAAAGTTGTTTTTCCGTCTCCTGTCCAGGTAAGGATGACAGAGAGAGGAAAAAGAGGTTGTGTGTGTAGTCTGTGTTTTTCATCACAGTTATTAGCACTGTACACCTACATGACCTTTGCTGACCTCCAGATGTCCACCTTGGTAGTGCAGCAAGCTTCCCTCACTGCTTAACATTGCACCTTCCTGTCAGAAAAGCTCCAGTTCCCCATTCTTTTTGCTGAACCTTTACCAATGAGAATCCACGTTTGCACTTTTATGATGTCATACACAAAACAGAGTGTGAAGCATTGCAGTGGGCAGCAGAGAACCTCTGGCAATTTTTAATTCTGAATTGGTAGTAATTTGCTGCATAGTTGCCCTAAAGTGAATTACATATTGCAGAAAATAAAACAGAAGACAGTGGAAGATAGGAACAAAAATACCCTGAGGTCAGCCCAGTAGGGAATAAGGCTTATGGGAATATATGTACTCAACTGGCTGTTCAGTCCTCCAGAGAATATTAGGAAAACTACACCACGTATCTTTATATCAGCAGGTATGTAAGTAGATAGATAACATTCAGCTGCATTGCATCCTAGCCTTACTGCAGGGTTGCCAGGTTGGTCAGGTGGCTGGTGAGATTTTCAGTTTGTGTCTGCACACACATTTATATGAATGTAACTGTTTTATTACCTTGTAAATAGTCCGTAGAGTTTGCAAACTACACCAATGCATTTGATGTAGCTAATTTTAGGTATATAATGGAATTCTATAGGGTTGCTGTAAGATTTCTTGCGTGTGTGTGAGAGTCTGAAAGCATGAGTGTTGCATGAAAATTGGCAGCCCAGCCTTACTGGGATAGACTTGGGATCTTTGCAAGGCTGACTGGATAGATGTTTAATGGCCAAGGACTGACTTAAGAAATCAACTAACACTGAATTGTGCCATGCTTACTGGTTCTCTGCATTTGTTTTGATATGTATATACTATTTGTAGTCTACAAGTATTGCATAGAATATTCCAGTGTCTGATAAATGTCATACTGGATCTTAAATTTCCATTATGTAACAGATTTCACTTGATTTTACTGTCATGGAATGAACAACATTGCTACAGTTCGTATTTCTGCTGTCTGAATGGATTATACAGAATGATTTTCTCTTTGTGCGATTGACAGTTGATGGAGAGTGGTTGCCATGGGTAACATGGTCGAATTGCACTAAGGGATGTGGAGGTGTCGAAGTGCGTCATAGGGGGTGTGTCCCACCTCAGAATGGGGGCAAGGCCTGCACAGAGCTGCCCGGACAGCCCACCATCGCCATGGAGATCAGTACGTAACTTTTTTTTTTTTAAACTTGCATTGTGTGAGCCCTTCTGATTGGCTACTGGGGTGGGTGATAACATGTCTGGAATTCATGCCTGGTTCTTCATGCGCCCCACAGAACCCTGTCCCCAAGACAAGTGCTCCAATGTCTCCTGCCCTGAGGGCCTCGTCCGATGGAAGTGTGCCCCCTGTCCCCTGACCTGTGCCCACCTGAGCAACGAGGGCTCCTGCGAGAGTCAGCCTCCTGGCTGCCTTTCAGGTGAGATAGGGGGCACCAGTGTGCATCGCCAAGAGTTAAAAGGGAGGGCAATTCTATTTAATTCATAACTCTGGCTAGTGTGAAATTTGTTAGCTGTGTTTTTTTTAAAGGTTTTAATTACCATTGGTTAATATTTTGTACTTTGATGATAATGAAGTAGATCAATAGATAAGCAGATTATGCAGTAGATTATGAAATTTAACAGACACGAATAAAGCACTCTTTAAGAGATTTGTATTTGATTGCGACACCTTCACACCCTGTCGGCCAAATCTCCCAAGGGGGACCCCCCCCCCCCTTCCCTGTGACTCAGTAGCTTCCCAGATTTTTAGCTGTAACTGTAGCTAGTTGGAGACTTTATGTTTTATTCATGTTTTAACTTTTGCTGATTACAGATCTGCTGGCATGATTGCCTTTAGTGGTACTGGCGACTTAAATTGTGGTTTGTTATATGTAAAATCACTTTATAGCACAGTCCACTGTGTGACGGCGTTCTCGACCCCCCAGGATGCTGGTGTCCCGAGGGCCAAGTGATGAGCCACACGCAGCAGTGTGTAAGGCCAGAGGAGTGCATCTGCGAGGTGTCCGGTGTGCGCTACTGGCCTGGGCAGCAGGTCAAGGTGGGCTGTGACATCTGTACCTGTGCCAAAGGAAGACCCCAACACTGCAAGCCTAACCCAGAGTGTTCAGGTCAGCAGGATCAACATAGTACCAGTCACAAGTATGGACACACTGCCTTTAGTGCACGTGTCTCTGTTTTAGCTGTTATTCACGTTGTAGTAAAAGGCCTCCAGGCAATGTGATACATATCAAATATTGCAACAACCAAGAGAAATGTTCAGCATCTTAAAATTTTCTCAAGTTTTAGATTTTTCAAAACAGCCCCCTTTTGCTTCGATGAATACATTGCAGACTCTTGGTATTCTTTCAACCAGCTTCCAGATGTAGCCACCTGGAATGCTTCTCCAGGAGTGCTGAAGGAGTTTCCACAAGTTCTGGGCACTAGTTGGCTACCTTGCTCTTACTCTTTGATCAAACTCATCCCAAACTAGCTGTGTTGGGTTTAGGTTAGAGGATTGTGGCTGCCTGGTCATCTGTCACCGCACTTCATCTCTTTCCTTGTGCACAAGATAATATAGTGGTGCCTGCGGTTCACAAACGCTGTGGTCTACGAACAATTTGGTTCGCGACCAAATACTAGTGTAACACCGGCGGGTCGCATGCAGTTGTAAATAGAAGGAGCACAACAGGCAAACAATGAACACGAACCCAAATATACAGACGGGAAACACGAGGTTGACAGACGCCGAACTGCAAGATGCACACATGGTGGAAGATTTACACACGCTAAATACACGCAAGGGTCAGACCGGGTACACACAAGACACAGGCAAACACATGCATGACAATAGAGAAATGCAATCATTAACATTAACATTAACATTAACAACAAAAGCAATACAACAGTTAAGGACTGTTAAGAAAGAGCGTGATTTCCCCGGCAAGCAAGTCTCCATGTCTCTCTCTGCTCCCGCGATGCCTCGGTCCGGCCGTCGCCACACTATATTGTGTTTTTCTTTAAAGTTTTCCTATAGAATCCAGAAAATGAATTAACAAAAATTATTATTTGGTAGGCTTGTGAACGAATTAATCGAATTTCAATGCTTTCTTATGGGAAACATTGCCTTGGTTCACGCACAAATTGGTTCACGACCACTTTTCTGGAACGGATTGTGTTTGTGAACCGCAGGCATCACCGTACTTACTACATAACCTCAGGGTGTGCTTCGGGTCATTGTCTTGTTCAGAATTTTCAATAGGTGTGTTCAGACTTGTCTGATATACAGACAAAAAGTGTCAGTGTTCAGTTCAGCATGATCAACATGCATGTTGAGTGATGTGTTTATACGAGGCACGAGATCGAAGCATGGTGTTTTTGGTGGCCCCCAGTGCACTGTGGGTGGTCCGCCTGGTCGCCGTGGGGCGAGTGCCTGGGCCCCTGTGGTGTGCAAAGCGTGCAGTGGTCCTTCCGCAGCCCTAATAACCCCAGCAAGCATGGCAACGGACGGCACTGCCGGGGCATCTACCGCAAGGCCCGCCGGTAAGCAGGGCCCCCCCGGCCTCGTCTCCTACCACCACACCTCCTCTCCCCATCTGCCCCTCTGTGGTCCAGCAGGAGTTACTGCTGAGTAAGGGCTGTTGGTCAGGGTGCCAGATGCTTGGGTTCAAAGTAGCTTCCAGGTTAACAGTTGACAGGTACACCCCCCTACAGATGCAAAATCCTGTGCCTGCATATTTTATTCAAACTGAGTTATTACCAAAATTGCGTCTCTTAGGTTCTGTTTTATCTCATGACAAACTATCACAGTTAAACTATGCTCAGTGTTGAAGACAATGCTATCATTTATCTGTCTACTAAACATATGGGTAGCCAGTCAAGAAACTCCAATCCAGCCTTCTATTTTCTGTAACTGCTTGTCCTATTCAGGGTTGTGGTGTGTCCAGAATCTATGGGTGAAAGGCAGGGAACAATCCAGGATGGGGTGCCACCCCATCGCAGGGCACACTCACACACCACTCACACCTATGGGCAACTTGATAACCCCACAATAACATCTTGCAAACTTTACACACATGGAGCCATAGCTGGGACTCAAACGCTGGTCTCAGAGGTGTAAGGCAACAGTGCTAATCACTGCACCAACATGCTGTACCTCAAAAGAACCTTGAACTGTACCACCATCAACAAATATTACTAATTTAATACTTAATTATTATTAAGTCAGAGAGGCCTGGGTTGTGCCTGTGATTGGGGGCGATTCTAGGAGTTTTTAAGATCAGGGGCAAAAGAGGGACTGTAATTAATATAGAGCAGCCAACCTTGTCATTATTCAATGATACGTTTTGAATTGGTGGATGACAAGGCACTGTGGGGACCTATCAGCTTTCAGATGGGGTCAGTACCCTTATGGCCCCGCCCCCATATACGCCCCAGTCCGTGATGCTGAGTCCACATGTCTCCATCCAGCTGCCAGACCGGGCCCTGCAGGGAATGCGAGTTCCAGGGCCGCAGCCATGCCGTCCAGGACCAGTGGAAGCTGGGACAGTGCCAGCTGTGTCAATGCCTGCCCAACCTGACCGTGCAGTGCGCCCCCTACTGCCCACACGATGCAGGCTGCCCCCAGGTTAGCTGGTGCCGGCGCTCCCCTACAGCTGTCCAGGCTGCTTGGGGAAATCTTAAAAAAATATCTTCCCTTCGTCTTTCAGGGACAGACTCTCATTCCCAGAGATGGGGAGAGATGCTGCTATTGTAAGGAGACTGGTAAGGAGTCCATTTTGGCCCTTTGTTTCTGTCCTGACGGTAGGAACACTCTGTCTAAAAAGTCCCCCTCTGTCCATCCTTCAGGCAGTAATGGCACAGTGACTTCACCACCTAAAACTGTTACTCTTCCTGTCGACACTGTGTCCTCCATGCCACCAGAGGGCCCTCCAGCTCTGGTTCCTACATACCCTCTCCCAACTGGAGGTTAGTCTAATTATTATTCTGTGTGGTTGTCAGTTATGCAAACAATGTAATTACAGTATATTAGTATTAAGTTGATATTGCTATGTTCATCACATTGCTGTTTTCTCTGTGCAGAGGAATGCTGGGCCCCTCTTGGAGTGCAAGATCTCCCGGTTTCCAGTTTCAGTGCGTCTTCACACCAGGACAGCTGGCCCCCTTGGGCGGGTCGGCTGGATGTGCGGAACCCCCGCAGCGACCTGCAGGGCTGGAGCCCAGAGCCGGAGAAGTACCGTGCGCTGCCCCGCTGGACCCCTGAGGGTGGCTACAGTGACCGTGGGGATGGTGGCGTGAAGCCTCTGTACCTACAGCTGGACCTCCTGAAGCCTCGGAACATCACGGGTAATGATGCGAGCGATTTGCAGATAACAAATCCAAATACAGTATATTACCCAGACATGAACTAACAATCATTGTATTATTAAACTGACAGTCTTCTACATGGAAAAGGCATGTAACAGGCAGGGGCAATTCAGCGATGTGTTTTAAGGCGGGGGGCATAAGAGGGGCCATAATTCATATAGAGCTGCCATCATTATCTTTAGCCAATGGTATGTTTTGATTTGGTGAGTGACAGGGGAAGGGACACTCTGAGGGCCAATCAGCTTTCAGTGCCCCTGTTGCCCTGCCTCTGTATTTGCTCCTGGTAACAGGTCAAGCATTTCTTAGAGGGGGATTGAACAGCACCAGTTTCCCTGCATTCGGTTCACTGTTCGTGGAACTGACTTGTGCAATGAAACAATGGCAATAACAAAGCAGGGATCAGTGTAGGAGAATGACCTATGAGTTCCTTCTTTCTGTCCCTCAGGTATTATAACCCAGGGAGGGGGCGCATTTGATGCCTATGTGTCGAGCTTCTACCTGCAGTTCAGCAATGATGGTCAGCAATGGTTCACCTATCAGGAACTGATCACTGATGCCCGTGCCCGAGCAAAGGTACCATATCTACCTCCCCCCAGTGCAAAAGTACACCAGTGTGATGCAGTATGTGAGTCACTGAGATGCCTTCCTTTCCCATCATGCCGTCCTCCTCCTTGCTTCGTCCAGGTGTTCCTCGGTAACCGTGACGATAGCAGCAAGGCCCGGGTGCAGCTAGACAGAATGGTGTCCTCCCGGTTTGTCCGTGTGCTGCCTCATGACTTCCAGAACGGCATATACCTGAGGGTGGAGCTGTTGGGCTGTGCGACAGGTCTGTCACACGCTTGCGGGCGTCAGCTGATCACATGGGATTTGGTTGCAGCTTATTAATCAGGTTCTATCCCCACATGTCAGGAGTTCTTAGACAGAATTCATCCTAGATGGATAACTGATTTAAAGATTGCACTCTTGGGTTATTTAGTAATTATTCAATTCAATTAGGCTTATTTTTGCAACAGAATCACCCCAAGGAATTTGCCATGGGTGTGCAGTGATACATTACTACATCATACATACAGAATAATACATTAAACAGGGGAAAGGGGAAGACAGAAATTCTTAAGTTTCACAATGATAGCTGGTGCATGTTTGCTTCCAAGGTAGAATTTTCCTTCTGTGTTTGAGTTTCTGGCTCCATTCTGATATCTCCAGAGGCTCTATCCCCCCTATCCCTGCTATTCTTGCTATCCCTGCTATCCTGGCTATCCCTGCTATCCCCGCTATCCCTGCTATCCCCCCTATCCCCGCTATCCCTGCTATCCCCCCTATCCCCGCTATCCCTGCTATCCCCCCTATCCCTGCTATCCCTGCTATCCCCCCTATCCCCGCTATCCCTGCTATCCCCCCTATCCCTGCTATCCCTGCTATCCCCCCTATCCCCGC